CCTGAGTATTGATTCATTATGTTGATAATTAACACACTGCATCCTGTTGTTATTTCTCCAGTTCCTTGTATGGAACCTGGTTTCAAAATGTGTTCTTCTGCCATTTCTGTTACTGACTCTACCATATACAGAAAAATTTCTTCTGGTTAGAAAAGCTTTGTGATCAAAGTGATGACCTTTAACTTTGATGCTACTACTAGAGCTATTGCTATAGGAGGAGCTGCCCTTTTCCCACAGCTTACTTTTTAAATACTTTCTGTGCATTCTTCTATAAAGATTTCTTCTTATAATTCATGCCTGTAATGTGACACTAATGTTGGAGATATTTAATACTGGAAAATAAGCGTTGGAAGATATAATGAAGGATAGACTGATAGCTACAATGAAGAAAATTTTTATTTTTTAAAGAAGAAAGTAAGATACTCAAAGAATGAGACTTGCAAAAAGGATAATGTTATGATAAAGCAATGTGTAACACTATTTAGCTAATTGAATGGGAAAATGGTGAAAACAGAAAAGAAGGGTTTAAGAGTTATCCCAAAGGATATACCATTCAACATAAGATGATTTTATTTTATTTTTCAAATGATAATTTCACAAAAAGGCAATGTGGTGATCTCTGATAATTGATTAATGATGGTCGTTAAAAGTGCTGGTTAAGAAAACACAAAATAACCAGAATCGACAAAGATATCGTTCGAAGAGTGCATAGATATTGTGTACACAGGTAATGTGACCGAGGAAATGGCAGACAAGAGAGCCATGTGTTAATTGTAGGAATTTTGGCAGGGCACAAAGGGATTTGCGTAAACAAAGTTCCAGTTGATAATTCTAAAACTGCTCATAATCTGGGAACAGAATAAGAAATCCTGAATAAGCAATGGTGTCAAAGAGTTAATTAATGAAGCACAGCACAACCAAGATGCCACTGGTTGTGTGGTAGTAGTGGTGATAGGCGGAGGTAAAATAGTAAGAGAGATGGAGAAGTTATTAGCGTCCACTGAAAAGAATTGGTGTAAGGTACCAATGTGAAGAGGTGGGAGTTTAGGAGGATAGCTATCTTGCAACCTCTCCAACAGCGAGGTGAAGGGATCTCCCCAGAAATAAGTAATTAATTTTCCAAAAATGGGAAGTAATTAATTTTCCTAGCCAGACAACAAAGTGACCCTTGTTGAAAATCAGGCTGCATCTAACCCTACACCATATAAGTGAGTGCCCTTGGGCAGTCAGCTAGTTGACAGTAGAAATGGAGAGAGCTGACCAAGAAATTCCATGATTCCTGCCTTCAGCAAGCTTACGGATGAATGAAGCTAAGCCAGCAATTAAAAAAATTAAACCAGTTGACTTCAAAGACCAGAACTTGTCTAGAAGTATAAAAGTGACACTCTCAGAAGAAACAGGTTGTATAGAACAGACTGATAAAAATTGATTTGCTTTTTTAAAACATACCTGAATCTTTTTGGTTTTCATTTATTTCTTTTTGCTTGTGTGACATCACCTTCTGTTTAGACTCACCTTGCACAACAGGCCTGGTGTCTGATTGATCTCATCTACCTAAGATCAAAATCACAATGTGGGTAGGTTAGACTTTAGATCAAGTAGTTACTTCGGTAACCAGTCATTGGAAGCAAGCTGAGAACAATGAGGCTGGTGTTGAACAGGTTGAATCTGGTATGAAGCCGTTACATATTCGTGCCATTAGAATCGACCGACCATCCCATTTGGTACCCTGACCAAAGGGTAGTGACGACCACCGATCGACTGGGTCACATATTAGTGGCAGTGACTAAGAGTCAACCCCAGTAGGTGTCACAATGTGGCAAGTATGAGAGTAATTAATTATGAAAGATGCTGGAGATAATTAACATGAGCTGACTCAACCAGGAAATGGTCAGAGGACCAGAAGCTGAGAACAATAGCGTCTTCAGTTTATAAAATGAGAAAGTGCGTAAACTGTAATTTTACAAATAGGCAATCTTGACAATTGATGAATGATGGTTATTAAAAATGCTGGTTATCAAGACAATAGAAAGCAGACAAGCAAGAAATAAGTGAAGAATGATATTCTCAAATATGATGAGATTGTAAAATGCCAATTGTGCATTGATGTGTGTGGGCATTAAAGAAGTGTTAATTCATGATATGGAATGGCTAGGAATCAATGCAGATATGATCTGTCGTCCAGAAATGGAAAACAGAGATTCTTCATAAACAGGTATAAAATTCAGGGAACAGCCGATCAAGAAAAGCCATGTGTTAAATACCAGGCATAGGAAAATTTCCAAATGATAATTTTAATTCTTAATTATGACAAGATGAAAAACCCTATGTAAGCAAAACTTCGAGGTGATAAGGTCTTTTAATTGATGAAGTAAATTGAGTTGCGCCAAGACAGCCGAGAGGCTATTGGCCAGGTGGTAGTCATAGTGGAGCTAAGACAATAAGAAAGGTGGAGAATTTGTTAACGCTCTTCAAAGGGTGTAGTGTAAGATGCTGATAGATGAGAGAAGGATTATAGTTGGATTGATATCCTGTGACCATACCCCATGAAAGACGAGGTTGTATCAAAAATTGCAAGCAATTTTAAACAATGGACCTTTGTTGGATATAGGGGAATCACCGAGACCCCAGCCTACGTCTTGCCCAACACCGGTGTGGAGCAAGGGCCAATATAAGCAAATGCATAAGGCCGAGAAAACAAGTTTCGTCTGGAGTTCACTTTGAAGTTCATCACACAGTTTGTTCCAGAGTCCGTATTGAAGACCTACCAGCTTGCTGAGACTGCCCACATGATTTCTGCCAAGTACAAGAACTGTGAGTTTGAAAAAAACTACGCCAAGACCAAGAAGTAATATTCACCCTTGCACCAATAAAGTTAATCCAAAAAGCACCTCAAAGTTAACACCAAAAAACAAAACTCAGATAACACCAAAAAGCAGAATTACACTAACACTAAAAACAGAACAAACTTCATATTGAAAATAGAATTTTGTAATGCAGCTCTGAGAACTTGCCCAAGTGTCACACTCATTTAAGATGGATTGGGACAATAATTGTTGTAAACTAAAGAACTGATATAAAAGTGAACTTTGTTACTTATTAACTGTGTGTCACATTTTGTTTTATTTTTCATTTTTATTGATGTGCACCTTCACCATAGCAGACTGACTTGGTACCAAAGATTCCGACAGCAACCTGACCTTCCTATGATTAGAAATTTACAATGTGGGATAGGACAAACGTTGGGACTGGACAGGTTACTTTGGTAACTTACTGCAGCATACATCCTAGACGAGCATGTGGGCTTGGGTGCTACATATTCAGGTCCGACCAAAGACCTTAGAACCCAGAAGATGTCACATTATTGGTGCTGCGACCAGGATCAGCCCCCAGAAGGTGTCACCATTAAAATTGACTTTTCTTCCTTAGATATACCAGTTCTTAGTCACTTGAAAGCTAAATCTTTATGTGGAAGCATAATGCCTTTATTTTTCCACTTGTCATATTGACTTTTGAAATTCATAATAAGCTATAATTTCATTATTTGCTCTCTTGTTAACTTCAAACTCTTCATATTTCTGAAAACTGTCTTCCAATTCATCTTCATGTAACAAAGAAATCAGTTTAATGCTTTGTGTTCAGTTGTACAGCTTCTGATTCTTACACAAGTGTGCAGAGATGCCAGCTATTCTAAGTCAGTATCAGAATAAGATTACTTCATCTTATGTTGCATCCTCTTCCAAAAGTTTCCTGAATTTTCAAGTCTTCTAAACTTGAAAATTTTGTTCTTCATCTCAAAACCATTTTTCAAAACATTCCTGACTCATTCTTCTACTTACAGCATCATTGTCAAAAAGTTATGTGCAAAACTAAAAAAAATTTTTATTGCCTACTGAATAGAAGAAAAGAAATTAATTTTGTATACAGGGTATATCTGGCCTTTCTAAATAATAATTTGGTCAGCTTTTAGGAAGTGGGACAGATCAAATTTTTCAGCACCTCTTTCTTGTACTTTTCTAGATTCATACTATCAGAAATTGCTGTTATGATCTGTGATATGACTTTTTAAAAGTCTACCATTTTTTTAAAAATATTTTCATTACTGCAAAAGTTAATATCAATTTGAATTTGATCAACACTGAGTTTAGAGATAATTTTATGCTCCTATTTTTTCTGAAAAGAAATGAAAATTAGAATCTTTCATTAACAACTTGATTGACAAACCTGAATCAAGCAGAATAAAAAAAAAATCAGCCTTTTTAGGATGATTACAGATGATAAAAAATTAGTAAATATTTGGAAACTAAAATTTATATTTGACTTCAGATGTAGCGTTATAGTTTTCAAACTTTAAGATCAAAAACATTTATTGTTTAAGAAATAGTTCAATTATCTCCCTTTTATCAAACTGCTTAGCAATAAACGATGGTTTACAAAATTTTTTTCTCCAAGGCAAGCATGTAAATAGGTGTTTTTTTTAACTAATTGTGATGTGATGAATGCAAATGTCTGAACAAATCTGTTCTAGTTTTTTTTTTGCTTTCACATTATTATACTGCATATCAATTGCTTATTTTATCTATTACAAAGGCATATTACAGAAAAAAAACAGCATAGATACAGAGCACTGACAGAACTAAATTACTTTGATAAAAGCATACATGCATAGTCAGAAGTGAGATTTTTTTTTATGTATTTTGCATCAAGCAGAAGTCTCCTATCATGCTGAGGTTCCACTTGTCTTGGTAATTTCTTCCCATCTTAGTAATATCGTGGTTGAACCTTTCTCCATGCTCATCACTCGCTACTCTGAGGTTCAGAAGGAAGAATTTAAGGTGGAAATAGAAAAAGTGAATTTTGAGTGACATTCAGCATCCCATATTCTCATAAGCCTTAAATTTTCAATAAACTCTTGGTGGTAATCTGGTACCCATGTGTGACCAAAGAAGCCATGCTTCATTTAAGGTAAGCTCCTCAAATACCTTATCCTTCAGCACTTCTCAGATCTGAGGTCTGATATAGATGCCCTCCTTGAGCTTAGAAGAACTGAGAGCTGGGAATAGAGGGCAGAGGTGTTGGAAAACAGCAAAACATTTTTGTCTAAGGGCCTTCACAAACTTTTTCATTAGACCAAGTTTGATATGAAGAGGAGGAAAAAGCACCTTCTTCATGTCCACCAAAGAATTTTTTGACACTGTTTTCACCAGGCATGAAAGTGTTCCTAGACCCCCAGTCCTTCTGCTTGTAGTGCACGGATACAACCTGACTGTCCCAGGGACATAGAAAACTACAGTACTTTGTGTATCCTGCTTACATACCCATAAAGATCCCAACAGAGACTCCATTGCTAGTTCTTGACAGATTCCAAAAGGAACTCCATACTGTCATACAACTCCTTCAAATAGACTGAGTGCCCAATAAGAATGCTGAGGTATTTATTCCTCAACATTCAAGGGCACAGCCTTCAGATTTCACTTGGAAGAGTCTATGAAAATGCAAATCTGAGGGATTGTGTGGGAAGCTAAGGTAGGTAAATAAGCCAGAGACATTTGTGCAGTAGCACAAGTTTTCCATGAGGTGAAGTCATTGTTTTGTGTTGGAAACTGCTGTGACCTAGTTCTACTACTTAAGCTGGGATACCAGGAGCTCTGACTGCTGTTTATAAATCACAAGCATTGATAATTCATGTCTTTCTAGGTGATGCAGTAGGGTTTACTACCATTTGTTCCTGAATAAACAGAGAAATTGTCTCCAGAAGGCAATTCTTCATATGATGAAGGAATAAAATCTTTGTGCTGGGAGGGAGAGCAAGATCATGTGGGGAAACAGGTGAGCTGAGGGAGGGTTGGGATATTTTATTTTTTTTTTTTTTTTAGAAGAAGCATTGAAACCAGTTGTATTTATTAGACAAAAACAACAATCCTCTGCATGGATTCATGACTCTCTCAGACCATCAGGACAGCAAAGTCAATGTCTGCTTTCTTGCCAGAAAACCATGCAGTTAGTCCATTGTAGCTGGATTTACAACAGGTGTGAGGCCCTGAATTTTTCCTGTTCTCCAATTTTATAGTAGCCATTATGAAAGATTTTTATTTTTTAAAAGAACACAATTACTAAAATTTCAAATTTTAAAAATGTCCTAAATAGGACGCATCAGGATGTACATGTATACATTTATGTACATATATAGAGAGTGCAATGGATAAATTATTGTTTAAATTACACAAAAATGAAAATAACACTGACATTTCATTTCAACTGAAATATTCACCAAAATTATGCAAAACTATCTTGAAATACCAAAGAGTAAATTTGTTAAAAAAATCACCATTGGCCTCCAGACGACTTTGGAATCTCTTGCAACTCTTCTGGACAGTCTCCTTCTTTAAATTAGTGAATGCTGCCATAATCCTTGCCTTCTGTTCATCTTAGGTGATCTCTCATTCAACTATGCTCCACACATAATAATCAAAGGGGTTGCAGTCTCGGGAGTTAGGTAGCCATATGTAAGGGGTGATGTGGTCACAGAAATTGTCTGCAATGACTGTGTTCTCCTGCTTGTGTAGCAAGGTGCAGAGTCCTGTTGCCAGACATAGGGTCTTTCAGTAGCTACCCTTACAAGGGAAGTGAAAAGTGGGTCAACCAAAACAGACTTAGTGCAGTGTTGATGCAGAGGTAAAGGCAGCTGGTACAACATCGGCTGAACTGAAGATGATCGCCTGGAACTCCTTCTGTTGGAGAGGTCATCCCGTCAATGGCCATGGTACAGAAGAACAAAGGAAAGGTGCAACTTGTACTAAATTATTAGGAATTGAACGAACATGTAGATGTATACATGGCTCATGCTGATGTGTGTGCACAAAACTTGAGAGAATGGTGAAGGAGGGGATCCAATGTTTCGGTGATTGACCTTCGAAAGGCCTACTTGTAGGTATGTGTGCACTGGTCACTGTGGCCGTTTCAGATGGTGATCTTTAAGGGAAGGAGATACTGCCTAATACGAATGGGATTCGGGCTCAATGTGGTGCTGGTCATCATCAAAGCCATCGTAGATGCTGTGCTATCTAAGGATGTGACAATTCGCCAAGCAACATCAGCTTACATTGACGACATCTACACCAATGAAACTATAGTGCACGCTGAACAGGTGAGACAGCATCTTGCCAACCTTGGGCTTGAGTGCAAAACTCAGAAAGACTGGAGAACAGTGTTCATGTGCTCAGCTTGCAGGTCTGGGGGAGCATAACATGCATTACTGGAAATGTGGAAGCATGCTCCCAGAGATTCCTAGACACATTACATGACACAGCATGTTCTCATTATGTGGGAAACTGGTAGTACATTTTCTTGTGGGCAGTTGGTTCCACATTGCAACTGCCTTTATAAAACACAGGAAGACTGCTGATGACAAAACAACTGATGCTCCCCTTAGAAACATGATAATGGAAGTCATTACCAGGGTATGTCAAGACGACCTCGTATGCGGTAAATAGTGTGTTGACAGGTGTGAAACAGTACTGGGTGGGTATATCTCTGGAATCAGCAACTTGCACACTATGCTGGTTGATGGAATGCCAAGACACATAAAAGACTTGCGTCCCTGTGTAGGTTTGGACACTTCAGCAAGTGACACTCGCAGTGAGTGCTCAGGAAGTGAAAGGATAATCACCATTGGAGGTAGGACCAGAGTACGTCTTCAGATGATGAAGAGTTTGTGCATGAGGTAGCCAGACTAGAGGACTCCTCAGGAGATGAGTCTTCTGAACATATCATACAATCCCCTCCAGTAATCATTCTGCTCTGAAGAACCTCAAGTGTAAAGAGTCCTGCCCCTCAGTGTCACCTATATGATGAGGGAGTGTAGCAAAAGAGAAAATCACCTACCTCAAAAAAGAGTTTGTGTTTTGTGCATGATCTGCTGAAGGAGAATTAAAAAATATAGTTAGCAAAAACCTGCTACTTTAAGTATCAGAGAAATTATGTTAGTGTTCTTTCCTCCCTGAATGGTGTGGCCAATCAGAAAAATTGCTCGATGAATAAAGGTCATTGTTTTTTGCTTGCTGGGGAGAATGATTTTTGAACCTGTGGTTCTGCTCTTGTGAAGTGAAGGTTGGATTTCTGACCCCATTTTTTTCATTACTACGTTGCCTGCTGGACTGTTACAATAGATTTTCGATTGAACTTTCTGTTGGCACAAGAATTTTTTTTTGGTTCTGACAGATGTGCTGAATTGGCTACAAGTGTTGCAGACGAGAGAGACAGAAGAAAACAATTGCAGGCATTGTTACAATAAATTTAAAGCCTTTTCTTTTTTTGCCACACAATACTTGCAGAAAAAAAGGGTTTAGTCCCCCAAGAACATACATGCTGACATGGTGGCTACGTAGCTGAAAGGGTATTTCTGTTCAAATTTTGGATTTGATTCAATCTTTTTATCAAATCGTGAAATAAAAGTTTTCTTGAACAGTGACTCTTCAAGAAAATATTATTAATTGCCTCGAAGATTATCGCTTCTAACTTGCTGAGGTGGAATTCTTTAGTAGTTAAAGATCCCTGGCCATCACCTCTTAAAATCCCAACAATTGGGTCTGCCATACTTCTTTTTAAGTCAGCTTTAATGACTGACCAAACCTTTTCAATGGGATTTAACATCGGACTATAGAGGGCAAATCTGAAAATTTGGTGTTGCCTAAATTCATCCTCCTCCACAACTTCTTCAATTGAAGTATGTCAAGGAACATTATCAATAACTAAGACAACTCCCCTTTCATAAATTTCATTTACCTTTCTAAGGCACTCCCTGGTCCATTCTTTTACATCCTCTTTTTTGAAAGAACCTCTTAATTTTATGATGAATTAATCCATTATTACTAATACATCTAATAACATGGATGTTATTTCCCCTGGATCTGGCTGTGACTGTAGTGCACATTGTGCCTTTTTTAGAGCGACCTTCTCTTCTTGAAATATGGAGATTAAAATTGGTTCCATCCATATAAAGAATTGGCACACTTTGGGAGTGAAATTCTAATAAAGCTACTGCGTAATCCTTACGTTTCGCTTTATTGACATTATTATTGGCAGCTTCTGGTTCATAATGAACCACTTTTAAAGTAAAGGCCATGGAGTCCAAGTGCTTTCTTATGCATTCTTTCGTAACATGAACCTCATACTTTTCGACCAACTTATTTACAATGTCTTGAAGAGTGACCCTAGGAGAGTTTTCAATTACTTCTGCCATAAAATTCTTATGCTCTTGTGTAATTTTATATTTTTTTGCTCCTCCCCTAGAGTCGCTCTTATCCGCACCCTGGTCTAACCAATGGTACACTGTTGGCAGAGGCACACCAATTGTTCTTGCCAGGTCTTTCCAATTTCCTGCTGTGGCATGTGCAGCTAAAATCTGGACCTTTTTTTCACCAGCCACAGTTTTCTTGAGGTAAGTCCTCTTTGGAGCTGTTGTTAATTCTTCTTCAGCTTCTTTTGTAGAGGTTTCTCCAGCATCATCATCAATCATCATTTTTGCCTATACGGAACTTCCTCCTCCTACTTTTACTTTCTTGGCCTCTAAGTTGTTTGTATCTTGTTTTTTTCTTCATCTATATAATGAAGATGAACAGTCAATTTCCTTACTCATGGGGTAAATTAATTGAAAAAATAATTTTCAATTTACCAAAAAAAATATCTCAATTTGAAGTTGTTTATTCTTATTTTGAAGTTGATTAAAAAAAAAAAATTAATCAACTCCAAAATGGATTAATCAACTTCAAATTGAGAAAATGTCAAAAACCTAAAAGGTTTTTGACATTTTCTCAATTTGAAGTTGATTAATCCATTTTGGAGTTGATTAATTTTTTTACTTGAAAATAAGTCCATTTTGAAGTTGATTATTATCATTTTGAAGTTGAAAATGTATAGATTGGCAGCTAGGTATTATCATTTTAAAGTTGAAATTGCCAACAGTTTTTTCCCCACATATCTTCTAAGTGTGCTAATTCCATGTTTTTTGCTACTATAGACCAGAGGTTTGGAGCCACTCTCTCAATTTTGAAGAATTGCCTGAAAAATGAAGGTTGTATGCATTTTTCAAAACTAATTTGCTTGTTCATTTCGGGCTAGAAGGACTTTCTATTCCTGAAGGGTTTTATCACATATTCAATCATAATAATAATAATACCAAAATTGTCATATATTCAATAACATTTACTGCATAAAGTTTTAGTTCTTTTTGCCTAATCTACCTTGCTGGCTAGTGGCAATCTTAAGACTGGTAGATGGATTAAATAGTTTTAGCATCCTAGCTTAGTAGGGATTAATTAAATCTAAGAATGTATGAGACTTACAAATCATTAAATCTAGAGGGTGGTTGAAAACTTTTGGCCTATAGTGTATGTCATAAGTTTCCGCCATGTGAAATAAAATCACGCTTTCAAATTCCACTTAGTGTAAAACACTACAAACTTTTGTTCCAATATAATACTTTCTATAAATCCTCAGTTTTGTTTTTGAGGAATAATCGGCATTATCTTTTAATTTGCAGTTCAATTTTTAACTTGTTCAAATAAGTTTTATATGGAATAATTTGTCATTTTTGTTTAGATGATCAAGCACACAAAAGCATCTATCTTTCTTTGCTGTATGAAAATTTTATAATAAATTTACAAAATTAAGGAAGATTTGTTAGATGTCAATTCCATATATGCCTCACAATGCTTCAGATATGTAAGCAAATATTTGTCATGTTTGTTTAGAGTCATGATTTTTTTTATATAAAAAAAACAAGAAGTGAAAGAAACTTCTTCATAAAAAAAAACAAATTAACAGAAAGATGAAATTAAATATTAAGTAAATATTTTCATTATCCACCTTATAAGTTTGCCATTGCATATGATTTGATATATTAAATTATTTCCTTTATGGTTTTCAAAGCTTCTAGAATAAAGTCTTTTAATATGTTCTTCAGTGGTAGATAAGTTTTCATTTGGCAAATATTCATCATCCACAATTCCAAGAATTTCAGATATTTGTGAAAATTTACCAACATCCTAACTCAAATTTTGTAACTGCTTGTATTTGGACATACTTTCTGATTTGTTTTGTAATGTTGAAAAAGAGCTAAGTTTTTCAAGTAAAGTTATGAGCTTGCAATTTTTCTTTTTTCCAGTCTTGTTAGATTCTGTAATTGAATCCTCATCATCAGAAAAAAAACATACAGCTTGCTTGTTTTTTGCAGATATAGACCAGTTTACTTGGCTGGTTACCATATTTTCTAAACTTGTTGATTTTGCCTTCAAGTATTTATACTTTTGTTGATGAATTAAAAAGGCATTATCTTTGCTTATGTTCCTGGAACACTCAAAAATTCTTTGTTCTACAACCTCAGCAATTATTGGCTTTTTATGTTCAGCTAAAGAAAATTTGCAGTAATCAGTTGGATTGGAATAAATGTCACTTTTGATAATTTTCTGCTTTGAGACAACTTGTGAATGATTTGAATGAATATTCTGGGTTTCATTTACTTCTGAAATTGATTTACTTTTGCAAGCATCAGAATGAAGAATATTTCTATCTTTGGCTGCATTTTTCAAGCAGTAGTTTGCAACCAATTTCTGTGACTTGTTGGATTCTTGTAATGTTGATATTGTGGTCACATAAATCCTGAAAAGTGGAAGTGTAAAGGATTAAAATTATGAAAGTAAATTGTTGTTACTAACTTGGTTAACAAAAATCAAAATTTACATTTTTTTACATTTGGACAAATATCTTCATCTTTGTTGTTATTATTACTATATTTATCTTTTCTTCCTGTCAGCATTCTTCAGGTGTATGTCAATCCAGATAACCTTCAGGGAATTTTGAGCTGAACCTTTATTTAATCTATGGTGGTAAAGTGTTCTCATTCTGCTGTCCATGTCTAAGGATTCATCTTGTTCTTATTTAGCACTACTCAATTATTGCTCTCCATGTTTACACTGAGTCTGTACTACATGGCTCAGGAATTGAATGTCACCAAATTCATGAACCAATACTTTAATCCACTTGGCTATTGAATCTAAATTTAATTTTCTTCTTCCTGCATACTACTGACATTTCCTGCTTTTTTCTTTAATCATTTCACCCCAAGCAAGGTGATAATGTCACTTGGATGCATGAGGGTTACTGGGAGTGAAAGAAAATGAGAAGATTTGTGAGGAGAAAGGACAATAAAAGAACAGGATTCAGGAAAACAGAAGATGGCGATTAGTATTGCATTTAAATTTTTGAAGATTGTAGTCAGCAGGTAGCAAGAAATCAGAAGGGAGTTCCACAGATGAAAAGTGTGAGAAAAGAAATTAGAATAGAACATACAATTGATTGCATTTAGTGAATTCAGCAGTAAAATGATGAGACCTAGTTGCCAATCCAGTAGCACAAGTAATCCCCATATTAATGTGAAATGACCTTCATTACATAATTTGTTAGGAATGACTGGATTAAGCCAAATATTCATCCAGACACACCATAGCCCATGAGCTTGTGGAGAAGGCCAGCATGCCAAATTCTGTCAAACACTTTAGAGATATCTAGAGCCCACGCTTTGGCATTCTTATCTAAAGCTTGATAGACAAATTCAGTGATAGCTGTTCACATCAGCTGTAGACCTAGAAAAATAGAAGCCATATTATCTATCTGAAAGAAGGCTGTGTAAAGTGAAGTACTTAACCAATTCAGCATTGATTAGAGCCTCTAGTACTGAAAAGAGGTAAGAGACTCATAGGTGATAATTTGAGGGGTCAGAATTTTCACCAGAGTTCTTAAAGACAAACTACAGAGGAGGATTTCTAACAAACTGGAAAACAAGAAACACTGAGGCATTTACTGTAAAGTTTGGAGAGAACAGAAGCCAGTTACTGTCATTCTTGATCACATTTACCACCACTTCTCTTGGTGACATAATAATTGTGAGTTCAATCTCTAAGCCAGGTAGTACAGACCTAAACTCAGTGGAAACAGGGTGAGTAATAACTGAGAGAGATTCTAAAAGAAGAAGATATCCTTACATATGGACAGTGGACAAAAACAATTTACTTACATAGATTAAATAAAGGAACAGTTTGAAATTCCCTGAAGTTTAGATCAAGAGACACCTTAAGAAGGCTTTTTGTGGACACAACAGCCAAATGATTATGATAACAAGAAACATGAGGATGTTAGTCTGAATGTAAATAATGATAAGCTCCTCAGTTTTCAGAAAAAATAAATCAAAATATAGAAATGATAGAATATATGAATAAACTTCATAAAAAGATTTCGCAAAATTAATTTATAATATTGCTTCAAGTCATAGCATCTATAAAATTTGATATTGCATAAAAATACCATCTCAAATGAGATATTTTTCAAGATTTAATTTCTTCTTTGTAGTCTGTTTTTTGGAATCATTATTATACTTATCAACTTCTGATTATTATTAATCTAATCTCCAGATTGTACTTACATATAAATGACTGCGTAATTAGCATAGCTAAAGCATATAAACTATATAAGTGCCCATTAAGGGGAGGGACAGAATATGATACATAAGATTAACAACGACTAATGGACTGAGAAAATATGAAAGAAATCACATTTCATAACACAGATGTTATTTGATTACTTATAGATAAATAATCAAAGTTTAATACTTACATATATGTTAAATGGATGTTGAGATTTGATATAATCAACTGGTTTTTATTTGCTGAGACAAAGGCCATAGGATGATCATTTATATATATCTTGTAGCCTTAAAAAAGAAGAAAAATAAAATAATAGAAGATAGTGATCAAAAGTACTTATATGGTTATTTTTAATATGACAGAGTTAATCAATTTTATTCAGGATTAGTAGGATATTAGTCATTTTATCAAATATAATGTTCGTTATTTATCTAAATTAAAATTTGAAAACTGTAATTGATATAATCTTATTTAAAGTAAAAGTAGCTATTAAAAAAAATGTTGATTTAATAAAATAATAAATTTAATGATTGCTCAACTGAATTGTGAAAAAGAAAAAAATTCTCATTAAGTTTGTGTTGGTGACATTTTCATTTTTTTCTTGACAGCAATGACATTTTCTAAATAATTTAAAAAGAAATTTACATTGTTTGGACTGTTGTCCTCATCTTTGTTGCTATATTCATGATGTTTCATCCGTTCTATGCACCAGCCTTCTTTAGGTGACTGGAATTTAAAACTGAATCCTTTATTTCATCCACCGAGATAGATTGTTCTAGTTCCATGTGCCACGCCTCTTCCAGATATCTCAGTATCAGTTATTTCCCTTTAACTCACCTCTCCAAGTTTTTGCTCATAATTCTTTTGGGTTAAGTCACTGGATTACTTCAACATTTTTATCCACTGGGTCATGTGTATTAATTTTTTCAGTAAACATTTTTTTTTTACCAGAGCTCATATTACAATTTCTTCTTATTATTTTTCTCTAGCACTCCCTATTACTGGTTCCCATATTGTATTCATGTCTATGCTTGGCTGGCTTAGGAGATTTTTGTGGCCTAGTATATGTGATGATTCCTTAAGTTTTCATATTTTCCAGTGATGTTCTACTATTTCAACCTCATCCTACAGTGGGTGATGATCTCCCTTTTCTCTCCATATATAGGTTGAACTAAAAAACCACACCTATTACTCCAAATTTTCATGCAATGTGTTAACTGGAAAGCCCAGTGGAAGAATAAACCTTCTTTTGTCATTTTCAAATACAAATTAAAATATGTAATTAATAATAAAATTGATAATATTGTTACTTCATCATTTTGTATCATGAGCTGCTTTTAAGAGAAACCTAATGAGTTTATGGGTGGTCAAGTAATTACTAAATATTTGGCAAAGAAAATAATAACATTTTGCATGAGGTTGCTACCAGTACTGAATGCAACCAAGAAGAGGGCCTTAAACATAATTTTTAAAATTTCTGAATTGTTCTTCACTGAAAATGTCTTTCATCTCAACTAATATCTTATTTTGAAATGAAATTTATGCAGTAGGCTCCATCAATCAAGTTGGTTCCAGATATCTTTGGCAACAAAAACAATGTCAGCTTCAAATGATCCAGTTCTAATGTCTTATTTAAATAGTTTTGTGTAAAAATGGATGATATCAGTACATGGATAACTGTGATATGATGTGTAGGTTTAGCATTATTCAAATGAAACCTGGAAATTCTAGTGTTGGCTAAAATGGTTGAAAAATATTGCAATCATTACTCACTTGTGCTGCTCTTGCAGTGAAAGTGTAGATCAAGTGCATCTTAATTTGCTGAAAAATTTAAGTAGTTGTGAGAGACAGGGTTGCTTGCCATCTTTGTGAAAGTCTAATCTGATTGAAGACATAACAATAGCCAAGCTAGTTGGGTGATATGAAGCTGACTCACTATTTTTTGCTTGCAATTTCAGTATGGGATTGTAGGTTGATATTGCAGTAAAAAAGGACACACACATAAATGATAGTGTAAGTCCCAGTAATTAATCCTTTAAGCAGTTGAATCAGTTATGTTGGAAATGCATTTGAGTGACATCCTCATCATCTTTAATGTTTATATCAAGTGGTTCAATTTGGATAGATGTGGCATTAAAAGCTGTTTATGTATTTTTATTTTAATTTATTTTCAGTGAAAGAATTGGATTTTAGACTTAAAGGAAATTTATTTAAGCTATTTCTTTTTTGTCATTAGCAGAACAATTAAGTATTTACTTAAAAAGGAAAAGAAACTGATAAAAATAGATTTATAATAAACCAATATTATAGCATAAGATATATCAAGAGGTTCTTTGCTTTTTTTATTTCTACGAATTCACAGATCGTGATACCTTTCATTAACCTGTGATGACTTTTTGCTAAATTCAACTGATCTTACAATTTACTTTGCAGACAATTTTTCCCTCCAAAATCCTAAGCTTGAAGTTGGTTGTATTGGCTCTACATCCCAAAACTTATCACTTGATTCACGAGTCACTTCAAATCTCTTTTGGGTGAAGGGTGTTAATGCTCCAACAACTGGAGGGCCACCCTCATTATACAATTGAAATTAATAAGATCTGTTAATAATGAATATTATCCAAATTACAAAAATTCTAAATATGAATAATTATATCTGTAGTTAGCATTAAAGAAAATCATATACTAATGTCTTCCTAGACTATGCTCTGCATATATACAAGCACAGATCATTTACATATTTCTATCAATAAAAAACACCATTCCTGTTTTCCCTCCCAAGGCCAGTGTACTGATGATTGAGGAGATGGGGGTGGCTATGCTAATGCCATAGGTTTTCATAGTTGGGATAAGAATGATCTTGAACAAAAATCAACATTCTCTACCAAATGTTCTAAGAAGTAGGACTTAAGATCTCTAGTTAGCTGGTTTGAGATTAAGAAGGATAGCAAATTCCATAACTAGTAACTTTATATATTCAATATAATCTAAAAAATTAATCTGGGTTGGTTTGGTCTTGTTTTACAGCATTTACCCATTGGGTCATTTAATGCCGAAATTTAACATTTTCCTAAATAAAACCTTGTATTTAAACAAAGATTTTTTTTAATAGTAAGACTGCTTTAGTTATATTTTTTAAAATTATATTTTTGAAATCATTTTAATTTCTCTTAGAAACTGGAATATGTAAAGTGAATCAGTATTTTAAAAAAGTTCTTTTAAGTTTGCTCCAAAGAATTAAGTAACAGTGGAGAAATCCAAAGTATTGAATTCAAGAACCTCCAATATAATGCTTTTGCTCTGCTATGTGAGAATATGCTGTATTCTATGATGAAGTTGAATGAATAAGAAGTGAGGGAAGAAGTTCTCAAACAAAATTTTATTCATTAACAAGTAAACATGCAAAATAAGATTAAAATATTTATTTGAATTCATAGGATTACTTTTTATTTCCGTTAATTAGAAAAATAACAGAATAAAAATAAATTGAGAAAAACATTTAAATTAAAATAGAAATTTAAATTTTTATTTCTTCAAAGGTGGGAAGCCAAGCAATAACAGGCTGAATAAAATCCCAGCTATCAACTCTGAAGCTGGATAGAATTAATAAATCTATCTCAAACTGGCTTTTGTAAACCAGCAACCACTGAAGTATTTTCATGTAATGAGCTTCAGCAGTTATTGATAAATAGCACTAAAGTGAAATTTACTGATCTCCTTACACATTCTCATAGGGTTTATGAACTTAAATCCAGACACAATCTTACAAAAGTCATATCATATAAAACCTTTTGTTTCTAAGGACTCTTACACAGAAAATGTTGATAATTATTTAAATATTTAATTGAAATTATTTTTATGTATTACACTTTTTTTTATAATTATTTACATTTGGACTAATATCCTCATCTTCATTGTTATTATTATGGTTTGGCCATTGTACCCTCCAGCCATCTTCTCATATATGTCAATCCAGGTAAACTTCCCAAATTGAACCTTTTATTTAATCTATGGCAGGTGCTCACCAATGCCAGTGGAATGAAGTAAATGCTATACTGGAGAATCAGATATCTGAAGTAATTAGCATATATGCTAGGCTGTAACAGCCTTTTCAGTAGGTTTGGATAGAAATTAATAAGATTATGGGATCCATTAATAAAGAAAGAGAAATAGTGTCAGGAGAGCTGAGGTTGAAAGCAAAGGCTTCAGCAGCAGTAGTAAAAAAAAAAAGAGAAGTACTATGCAAAGAAAGACAGCATAACAGTAAAAGGTGGCAGTAACAGGCAGACAGTAAGAGAATTGTTTCTCAGTTCTAGAATCAGAACACAGGACAATAGCCTAATGGATTAAAACAGTATTTTATGAACTTTGTGGCATAGTAATTGAGTCGGGTAGTACAGACTTAGATTTAATGGAAACAGAGCTTGCAATAACTGAGCAATGCTAAAAAAAGAATGATGAGATATACCTAAACATTGTAATAAATAAAGGGTTCAGTTCAAAATTCCCAGAAGGATGAGCACATTAGTCCTAATGTAAATAATTATACATTTTATTTAAGGAAATAACAAAATTTATTTGGATTCATCGTTGAAATATCACAATTTGAAAATGAGGGTTTTTTTATGGAATTTTTTGTTTTCTCAAATGAGGGTAAAAACTGGGAATGTAAAATTTAGAATCAGTTCTTATCTCATTAAAACTCAAGTATCTTGCCTTGTCCAAAATTGATTTGAAAAAAAAAAAGTTTAAAATCAACCAACTGTACTAGCCAGAGGACTTAAAGTGATTAATTTCCTTGAAAAAGGTTATCTGTTTTCTTAATTATGCTGATTTAAAAAAATCTTTTTCTGAGGTAAAAAACTTAGAAACTAGGCCAAAAGACCACATGTCTTTGAGAGGCACTCATGAAGAAAGAAAGCCTTATAAAAAGAGATTAATGATTTATTTTTGATGATTTATGATATTGTCAAGTTAGCTATGAAGTAGCTATTCCAAGTTGTAAAATAGTTGGTTATTGGATTCCGAGGAAGAATGACTCCAGTTGGTATGATAAGCTGGCAAAAGAAAAATGTAATTATGGATTCTACAATGACATATCATGACAAGACTAGAGTGAACACAAAAAGACAAGCTGATTCTCCCTCTTTTCTCCCATAGTATCAGTACTAAGACTAATATAAATCTGTTGCACTGGCCAACCTGACCAAATACTGGGAAGAAAAAATATACAGATGGCATTTGCAGTCTTCTGCAAAATCTCCTTTAATTGCTTTGTTTTATCATTTTATCTTACTCCACGTCAAGAAATCATTCTTAACTCTAATTGTGCAATAGTATGTCAGTTTCAATCCTTCAGCAGAAAACTTCTTTAGGATTAAGATAAATGAGGACATCCAACCAGCAATAATATTCCCTGGAGTTGCCATTGTCCAGGGTGATGACCTTCCAAATCCACCAGACCATCCTTGAAGTTAAGAGGGTGATATCATCCCACTTGTAACTTTGACTGGGATTCTTAGCCCTGGGGTTTCACACTGTTGTCATTTTAACCAGTAGATTAGTTGTATTTTGATAAATTATATTTGACAACTGCAAATAAAATTATTGAATACTCATCAGAAAATTCCATTACAAAACATTAATATGAATTTAAATTTACAAAAATATTCTTACCAAGAAGTGTGTGTGATATATTTTCATCAATCCTTTTAATTGTAGATGGGGACCATGATAACATAACAGAATTCCCCGAAAGTGGGAGCAGAGTTAAGCAATCAGGAACGGAGACATATGGACAAGAATCAGCAGTTGTTTCTGGTGATGATTCTTCAAAGTCATTTATATTGAGGTTAACTTGATCTTCTAAAACATAACCTGAACATTCAAATAAAATCAATGAAGTATTAATTTGTGCTGACATGAGGAAATTCAACGATATTTGTAACAAAACATGAAAGTAAAGTTTTGCCTTTGCATTAAAAAAATCTTCAAAATTATTTCCATGATAAACTACATCAACTTAATAAAATATATATATATATATATATATACACACACACACACACATCATATATAATTTATATATATATATATATATATATATATATATATATATATATATATATATGTATCTAGATATTTATCTATATATATATGCATATATAATATAAAAAAGAAAGAACAGTAAGACATATAATCCGGTGTTCTTATAGATATTTTTATTTTTACAAAATAGTGCTCAATGTAAATTTACAGAGCATTAATCTGATTTCATTGGTCTTTTTATATTATACAACCTTACAGCGCACCGTGATATGAATATAAATGACATTGGTTTGTACAGAGACGATGGACTTATGGTTATTAGAAACTCAACTAACCTTAAAATAGATAGAATTAGAAAGGTTTTATATAAAGAATTTAAAAGCATGGGCTTAAAAATTACGGTTAGCACTAAACTTAAAAAAGTGAACTTCCTAGATATAACATTAGATCTAAATAAAAATACATACATATCTTATAAAAAACCCAACACCAATCCTCTATATATATATATATACCCTAAATCAAATCACCCCCCCATCTATAATTAAACATATACCGTTATCTATCAGTAAACGAATTAGTACAAATTCAGAAAATGACAAGATTTTCGATGAGCATATCAATTCCTATAATAAGGCTCTAAAAGAGAGTGGCTACAAAAACCCAAAACTAACTTATATAAAAAATGAAAATGCAAAGCATAGAAAAAACAGATGTAGAAAAATAATTTGGTATACACCCCCATACAACCAAATGGTAAAGAACAAATTAGGACAAAAATTCCTTGCATTAATAGTCAAGCATTTTCCTAGTGAAAGTAAACTAAGTACTATTTTCAATAAAAACACACTAAAATTGAGTTACAGCTGTACAGAAAACTTATAAAAAAATTATTAAGAACCATAATGCTAATATCTTAAATAAACACTTATACCAAAACCAAAAAAAATTTAGACAATGGAAAATAAAAATAAAAAACTGATGAAAATAAACAAAAATTATGTAACTGTAGAAACCCTCATAATTGCCCTCTACAAAATAAATGTTGCACTGAATCATTAGTATACCAATGCAATATCTCTTCGATTGAAAGTCCTGAAAACATAAAAATATATATAGGTTGCACTAGCCATGAGTTCAAAAAAAGATTCAACCAACATCAAAGTTCATTTAGGATAAATAAATATAAAAATCAGACATCTCTATCAAAATACTTCTGGCACCTAAAAGAATCAAATAAAACACCTACAGTAAAATGGAAGTTAATAAGAAAAGCTAGAATATGTAGGTCATTAAATGACCCATGTCCTTTGTGCATACATGAGAAACTATATATTACTAAGTTTATAAAAAATAAAAATTTACTGAATCAGAGAAATGAAATAGCTATTTTATGCCATCATTGTCAAAAATTTTCCTTAAAATATTTAAAATTTAAAAATAAAAATAAATTTAAAAAAGGGGGCAATTAGGTAATATACATACTTATATTTAACATGAAAAAATAATTTTATATACTGTAAGTAATTCTATTACATTTTTTTTATAAAAAAAAAAAAAAAAAATAGTCTATTAAAATAACAGTAAAAATATTTTAAAGTTGTATTTAAAATTGTAGTTAAAACGAATTTAACCTAAACATCTTTTAAAAATTGTAGTTAAATAAAATGTATTCTAACCTAAACACCTCTAAAAAAAAAGTAATACCGACAATTAAATGAATCCAATAAAACACCTACTGAAAAATGAAATTATAACGAAAAGCTAGAGGATGTAGGCCATTGAATGACCCATGTCCTTTGTACATACATATGAAACTTTTATATAGTTTATATATTTAAAAATAAATAAATAAAAATAAATAAAGTTTACTAAATCAGAGAAATGAATTAGCTATTTTTTGCAGTAAGTGCCAAAAATTTTACTTAAATAATATTTAAATATAAAATTTAAAAAAAATCGTAATATACATATACTTTTGATATGGAAAAAATAATTTTACTTACTATAAGTAATTTAAAATGTTTACTTCTATTATAAATGAAATATAGTCTATAAAAACTAACAATGAAAATATTTTAAAGTTGTAATTAAAATTGTAGTTAATTAAAATGAATTCTAACCTAAACTTTTTTAAAATTGTAATTAAATAAATAAATAAAAATTTAAACTAAAACATAGAAAAGAAATTAATTTTTTTGCCGTACTTACAAAAAAAAAAATATTACTATTATTTAATATATAAAAAATAAAAGTTTAAAAAATCAGTAAATTATACTATTTTGATGTGATTAATTCACAAACTTAAGGGATTTAAAAAAAAAAAAAAAATTGTCCTTAAAAAGAAATATAGTATATTAAAAATTAAAAGTAAAATAAATTACATAATCGATTCTTAAAAAAAAGTGTTCATAAAAAAAATACCCCCCAAAAAAATTAAAAATAGAATATTTCAAAGGAAAAAATAAAAAAAAGAATTTAATTTGAACAAAAAATCTTTTTTTACAAATAAAATCCAGACAAATTTTTTTTGCCGTTAACGGATGTAAAAAAAAATTTCATTGAAAAATACATCAGTTTCCCATTGAAAAAAATCCGTACCCCTTTAAAAACAGATACATTAAAACATAGACATAATGAAAACCTAGACACCCTTGTCCAATAAAATGGATCCATCTGTAACCTTGGAAACATGAATTATGATTTTAGCTGTGTCTTTTCTTTAAAACCCAGTAATTTTAAAAGTTACTCCAAAATTCGCTTGAGGATGAAATGGAACTAATGTCTTTAATTTAATTACAAAATTAAAGAAATTTTTTTTAGCTTCCATTTTTTAAACATGGTTAGAACTGTGTGTAGCGGAAAAACCATATTTTAAATCAATTAATTAATAATATATATATATATATATATATATATATATATATATATATATATATATAAATACATTTTGATTGATAAATCTAGTATTAAACAGATGCTGTTTTAATTTAATTGTTATATTTCAATGTGAATTTTTTATATTTATAATTACATATCTCTGATATTGAGCACTTTATCCCATAAATATAAAATATATTTAATATATATATATATATATATATATATATATATATATATATATATATATATATATATATATATATATAAAAAATGAAAAAATTCAGAGTTAAGCTGTAGAAGAAGACAATATTTATAAATCAAAATACAATATATATATATTTATAAATATAAAATATATAAATATTTAATTAAAATTTCCTATTGTCTTTTATTTATTTATAAATATATTATCTATCTATCTATATCTATAAATATATCTATATATATATTTTTATATATGAAGAATATATATATTAGCATATATATATATTTATGGGATAAAGTGAATCAATATCAGAGATAGGGCATGTGTAAATATAAAAGTGAAATAGAATCAACTCTTAGAGGCAACAGTCTGTTTCAATAAATGCAATCAAATCAGGCCAGTTTTTTTATATATCTATCAAAATATATAGCTTTATACCAAATTTTAAATATATAAATATAAATTTTAAAATAATATGAAATAACTCATCTAAGAATTTATAGTGAAAAAAACTATATCAATGATATATAAATATTATTATATCCATTATTTAAATTGATAATTTAATTCAAATTGAAATATAAACAGCATTTTAATAATTTTATTGATGATAAAATTATTTAAAATTGAATAATATGCATTTGATAATTATGTAGGTATCATAAAAACAGTACGAGTTTAATTTATATGTAAAATATAAACGAATAGATGTCAATTAATAATCAACATTTAGAAAATATTTATATAAAATAAAAGATTATAGATGTAAAATGAATTATTCTTTCAATGTTATGTATATATATATTATGAATTATTTCCAATCGATATTTCATGGAAAATACCCAATTTGATAAACAATCATCAAATTAAATATATTTGTAGATTTCTTAGACATTTAGATTTATATCAAACTTTAAATAAATATATGGTTTTTTAAAGTAATATAAATAACAATGTCCAAAAATTCTTTTAAAACCTTTTCTTTTTTTAAATATTTTCTTATTTTTTTTATGTCGGTTTTCTTTTCACCCCTACCCATCCATATCTAGAGATAATATAAGTTAAATTGAAATATATTAGCCCATACCAAAAGTGGGGTTAAAAGAATAAAATTTTTTGAAAATTACATCTTTTCACTCACCTCTCTAATTCCCCCATTAAATGTTATTTTTTTTTATAAAATTTTTATAAATATAAATAAAAATGTATATTTCTTTTCATTTTTCATTTTTTTGGATTTTAATGTCTGATGATCCAAAAAGCCCTTTAAAAGATAAATATGTGTGAAATAATTTATTACATGGAACCTAAAAGTATCTATTGTTATTTTAATATTATATATATATATATATATAAAATATATATATATATATATATATATAAATATTATATTTTAATATAAATATAAATATATATATATAAATATTTATATATAAATATATATATATATTATATATAGATATATATAAACAATAAAATATTTTATATATATATATTAAAATATATATATATATATTTATATATATAAATATATATAAATATGTTTTATATATATTTATATATATATATATTTAAATCAAATAAATCCATAATTTCCAAAATAATTTTTTAAAATAATTAAATAATATTAATTTTTAAACATTTTAAATAATAAAATCCCTAAAATTGACATTTGATAAACACAAATATTAATAAAATTTACTATTTTGCATTAAAAAAAAACCTACAAGCATAAATTCAT